TTTTTTTTGGTTTTTCTCCGGTACCGGGAACCAAACTCACGACCTTGCACTTGCCAGGCAGGCGCTTTTGCCGCTGAGCTAAATCCCCAGCCCCTATATTATTTTTTCATTGTTGTTAATAGGTGGCTTTCTCCTGAAAGTATCTTGGGGCTTTGCTTTGTTATACAGTGTTGATTTTATTTCCCACTAGATACCACAGTGTGAATTTCCTGTAGCTCCTTTGACTGTGATTAGTGACAGTGGGCATTGTTTATGCATGTTGGAGTCAGAAAGTCCCACTGTTTCTTTGCGGTTTATGCGAATGTGGCATGCTAACAGTTCAGACGTGTGTAGCACAGACAGCAGAGTGTGTGAGGTATCCCAGTGTAGTTATTCCTACACTGTTCTCTGTCAGGTGATGCTCGTTTCATTAGCTGTGCTACTATTAGCTGTGTTCCTTGCAAGGCTCTCTAGAACTGGCCGCTCCATATTCATGAGTGTCTAGAAATACTGGCCCTCTGATTGTCACTGGAGCAGGCCCATGTGCTTCACCTGCTTTCCTGGGAGAGGAAGGGCCAGGAATCATACACAACACCTACTCTGTGGCACACACACCCAGCCTCGCCGGGGGAGCACAGTCAGACATGAGAGGTGACTGACCCAGAGGCTCCGCATGGGTGCAGCAGCAGTAAACACCGTATTCACCCTCTCTGATGCTCCTGTGGGTTGCCTGCCCAGGAGCGGGACCTCAGACCCCCACTAGCTGTGCACACCCAGGGAAGGGGAGATTCTAGGAGTTTTTCTCCCTGATTCTTTCTCTTATAGTACTTTCCAGGAATTGAGCAGGAGTGGGTCACTGTTGTAGCTGGGCAAGACTCCTCCTATCTGAGCTGTTTGCAAGAGTGAGCTAGAGTATAGCATGGTCAGCACCAGCAATGCTTCTCTCTGAGGTTGTGTGTCTGAGTCAGGGCACAGCCCAGCTGTGACAGTGTTGTTTGATGCTGTTCCAGCAGGCCCATGTGAGCAGGCAGCAGTGGAACCTGGAGTATTTTCTTTGGCTTGACAGGGCCCGATGTCCTGCTATCTACAGAAACCACAGGTGAGCAACCCTGCTCCCAGGCTCACGGGCCAGAATCCCCAGTCCTGTCCCCTAGTTCTTAGAAGGATGGTGCTTTCTGTTTGCCTTCCCTGGTAAGGTATGCATCTGGTTTTGGTATCTGCGTAATGCTGTCGTTATAGTACTTCCGATGCTTCGAGCTGCTAAAAAATATTAGGCAGACTCGTATTAATTTCTTTCTTAACATTTGGTTCAGTTGGACTCAATTTTCCTGGTGCTTTCTGTTTCAGAAAATTATTAATTATTTATTTTATTTCTTTAATGTACATGGGACTTCAAAGTATCTATTTCTTATAGGAGTTTTGGCAGGTTGTATTTTCAAAGAATCATTTATGTTCAGGTTATAAGGTAAAAGAGACAAACTCATAGAAATACCTGAAGATGACAGGAATCTTCTATAACCAGTAGACAAGGTGAAAGAAAAATAAACATATAATTTAGCTATAAATGATTTAGTATAGCTGATATTTATAACAATGTTGGTTGGTAAGTGCAGAAAATATATTATTTTCAAATCCAAATAGATCACTGAGTATGATAGACCATATTCTGAGTCAATATAAAGTTTTAATACATTCAAAATTATTACACATATACAGAGTATATTTTTATTAAATGGAATTAAATTAGAAGACAAAATCAAAATGATACTAGAAAATTACCCAAATACTAAGAAATTTTAAAAACCCACAACTCTAAGTTACTCATGATTCAAATAAAACATGAGAAATTGAAGAATTTTTTAAGTAAATAAAAACGTTATCAAAATGTATAGGGGAAAATGAAAGAATATGAGAAAAATGTTTAGCTTTAAATACTTAAAACAAGGTCAAAAACTTAGAAACTACAAAAAGAGTAAATTAATCCAAAGCTAATAGATGGGAAAAATAATAAACATGATTAAAATTAGTGAATGAAAATATTTAAATAGTCAATAAAATAAAGCTATTTTTAAAATCATCAATGGAACTGTCAACACCCTACTCTGGTAAAATACTTAGCAAGAACCACAAATCAATAAGAGTATAGAAATAGTTTTATAAAAATGTTTTATACAAATATTTATGTGAAATAGGCAAATGTCTTCCACAGAACAATTACTGCATTTTAACAAGACTAATCACAGAAGAAGTGGAAAGTTTTTAAAAGTTCTATTTCAATTTTTAATACAGAATTCCTAAAAGATACAACTTCCCAAAGGAAATACAGACACATGTCTTTACTGCTAAACTGTCACAAACTCAAAAAATTATTCCAATCGTACACAAACTTTGGCAAAAAATAGAAAATATTTCTCAACTCCTTTCATTAAGCAAGCTGATTTCAAACCAGATGTGCATTACAAAAAATAAAATTTCACAGCAATAATCCTAATTAATACAGAAGCTCACATGTCATATAACATCTTGACAGATAATTCCTAGTTTTGACAAGAGGATAGACCACCTGCCACCCTCACATATTGAAGGGAAATATAAAATTGCTTAACAACTTGCCATAATTTTAAATGAGTATTTACCATAATTTTCACCAAACAATTCTACTCTTAGTTATTTATTATATAATAAAATAGTATTTAGTAATCAAAATAAATAGCTAATAATATAGACAAAAACATAGATGAGTCTAAAAAATTTCACTGAGCAGAAAGGCCAAACACAAATGATTACAAACTGAATTATTTTATTTCTATGAAACTCTAGAAACCACAAGTCTATACTGTAGTGACAGAAAGCACATCACTGGGTGCTAGGACTGGCATTAGAGAGATTTCTTGAAAAAATATCATAATGGAAATTTTGGAGGTGATTTTTATTAAAGTAAAAGTTATGTGGTATATCCCTTTCAGCATATAAAATAAAATTGTTGTATCTTACTGAACATAAAATTATACCCTTAAAAAACTGAGTTTGAAAGGGCAGATAACATTCCCCTCCTCTCCATTTGACCCCTCTTCCCCTCTTATTTGCAAAAACTTTGTTTCCATTTTTTCCTCATTATCTTTTTTCTTTTCCCCGCCTTCCTTTCCCTCTCCAAGGTCCCTGGTTCCTCTTCCTTCTTGGCTATTTTTTTCCTATTTCACAATATTTATTGTACATTTTGTTCTTTCTTTACACTGGTTGAAATGGAACCTACGGTTTTAGTTTTTTGAGCAATCTTCACACTGATTTCCACGCTGGCTGCACCAGTCTACACTCCCAACAGTGGAGAAGGGCTCCCTTTTCCCCAGAGCCCCTTCAGCACTTGTCATTGGTTGATTTCTCGAGAATAGCCATTCTTTCACGAGTGAGATGGAATCTCAGTGATTTATTAATTTTCATCTCTTGAATAACCAGTGCGGTTGAACATTTTTCCGTATTTTTTTGCCTTTTGTACTTCATCTGGGAAGTGTGTAATGATTTCAGGTGCCCATTTTTGGATCAGTCTTTAACTTCTTTTGAGTTCTTTATACATTCCAGATATTAGCCTTTAGTCAGAGGAACAGCGGGCAAAATTTTTCTCCCACTCTGTGGATTGTGTCTTCACTCCGTTGGTGATTTCTTTTGTTGTGCAAAAGGGTATAGCTCAGTGGCACAGCACTTGGCAATCATGAATTTGATT